AAGGGACTGATCCTCAGAAATAAATATTGGCTACATTTTTCATAAAGGAAATAACATCTATTTTACATGGAACAAACTGTAACATTACTATGGATAACAGGTTCACATCTGTATCTTTGGCAGATGAATTATTGAAGTAACCTTATAATTTGACCTTAGTTGGCACTCTTAGAAATAATGAAAGAGAAATTCCTGAAAAATCAAATTCTAAATCATGCGCTATTGGTACTTCAATATTTTGTAATGACGGCAATAAGACATTAGTTTTGTACAAAGCCAAGTCAAATAAAGTTGTTTATGTTTTGTCGACAATTCATGATCAACTTAACATCAATGAAAATACAGGAAAACCACAAATAATACATTTTTATAATAGTACAAAGGATGCAGTAGACACAGTAGATCAAATGTGTTCAAATATGAGTCAAAACAAAAAGGTGGCCACTATGTGTGTTTTATAATATGCTAAACCTATTGGCAATAAACAGCAATGCTATCTATGTCTCTAATAACATTAGAAACAAAAAAAAAACCATGTCCCGTTTGGGATTTCTTTACGAAGATGGAAGACAAACTCATGGAGCCCCGGCTACAACAGAAGTTACAGACAGTGCATTTGAGGCATGATATAAGAACCATAATACAGGATATTCTAGGTAATGTGCCCAGTGTAGAAGCTCCTACTCATTCTGCATCGAATCTGCATAAAATATGCTATTTATGTCTATCGAAAGCTCGACGAATGACAAAACACTGTTGCATGAAATGCAAAAATGCATTCCGCGGCCTTCATAACGTTAACATATATAGCAACTGTGTGTAATCTTATTTCATAAATATTTTGTCCTTATTTAGTTCCTATTTATCCATACTATTGTGCCATGTAACAAGTTCCTATTTTTATTAAACAATTCTGTTGATATTAACGTTTTTTAATGCATAGTCTGCTCAACGAATGTATAGCTATAATGTAACTGAAATTTAAGTTTAGTTATCTAGGGTTAATAGATGACTGGCACGATTCTATTGCTAATGGAAAAGTATGATTTACATACAAGGACAAGACACTACAGTATTCATTTGAGGTGAAGAGCATACATTTTAAATTAAATAAATTAAAAATTGAAGCTGGCATTATGACAATGTAACAATAAATAATTGCTTGTTTTTTATTATATATATACACACATATATATAAATATACACATACATACATACATATATATATATATATATATATATACACATTAAAGTTTGCAGCCTGTTTATATAGTTTAATTGACAAATTGTTATATTTTATTATGATTATAAGAATAACAGTAATAAAAAAAAATAATTACTATATTCATTTTAATAAATCTAATTTTTAGTTCTTTAAAAATAAAAAATTATTTTATTCAGTAACAGATTAATTAAGAATTTTTGGGACACAGTATATGAAGTTGGCTGCAATTTTAGACAACCAACCAACAATGGTTGCTATGGAAATGTAACATAGAATTTGTCTGATCAGTCTAGTGAACTATACAATGTGAAGCAATCTTTGAGACTGGTTTACACCATATGACTATAATCATAATTTTGTCTCACCCAAAAATTTATCTGCAAGTTTTGTCAGTGATTCAGGTGTTTACACAATGTACTAGAACATGACTTTCAAATTGTTCTAACTTGTGAAAATAAGCAAGAGCATTAATTTCTCTCAGAAGTGATAACAATGTGATCTAACACATGATTCTGATTTTGTCATTGATTGATTTGATGATGCAATAATAAGCAAAAAATCAGATACATTAGCTTTTCTGTGACATCAATGTGCTTGTCAAACCAAGATTGCCAATAAATCATGAGTTTGTTCAAAACAAGATGAATCTATGTGCATTGCAGTTTTGAGTGATAAAATGCGTAATTAAGGCATATTCATTTCATTTCTTTAAATATTGTTATTTGAAGTCTAAAACTTTGGCATGCATAAACATTTTAAAAGTATGTTTACTGTATGGCAAGTGGACTCAAAAAGGTTTGCCATTACTGGTCTAGAGTTTACCAAACTGAGAGTCTGTACTTGTGAGGCATCGTGTACATGCAATCAGCACATTTAGTAATCCACCATTGCTATCATTTATCATTATGAAATTTGATAAATGATTATGAAGGATTTTTAAATTTCAGTTTAATCTGTAATGCTTCCTTGGCATCACTATCAGATGAATTAATATTTATTGTTATATAAAATATAATGATAAATAATAATGATGTATTTTTTTAACATTAAAATCTATAGAACAATTAACATTTTCTGATTAAACAAATTTAAAATTCATTTAAAACAAAACAAAAATGAAAAAGTAAATCTAAATCTAAACATCTAAATCTTTCTTTTTTATAGAAAAAATTTGATAATTGCATTCTTTATAATTATACAGTGATAACCCGAACTTACGCGATAGGTGGGACCGAGTGATAACTGCGTAAGTTGAATTCGCATAAGTCGGGGTATAATTTCGCAATTTGTGTAAAATCCAAGTCGGATGTATGTAAGCTAATAAATGTTCTCGTTAATCTTATCTCGTCTTTTGATTTGTTCANTCAGGAATCTAAGAAATACATGAAACATGAATGGAATGGCCAGCTACTAAGTCTAGTTAGTGGTCATATGATTTTGAAATACAGTTGACCCCCTATAACACTGTTGATTATTCCATTTTATATGAATTTCACGTTGTACAAGTCACTTAGATTTTACAAATATATGTGCTGAGCTGTGAATGGCTCATGCATTTGTAACAGTGTTATAGGGGGTGCTTTAAAAATTTATATTTTTAAAGCACATTTTTATTTGGTTATTGTATACAACAAACAAAGCGTTATTTTTCAAGGTTCAGTGCTTGTTGGGCTGCAATTTGATAAATTGTAGACCTAATTGTCAACCTGTAGACAAATTCCGACTGTCATCCATCTGTATATCTGTCCTTCCTTAACCTGGAGAACGGAATTAGATAAAAGAAAGCGGAGACCCGATATGGAAAGATTAGGGGCAGGAGGCCCAATTAACTATATACAAACTTTTAATTAACATTGGAAGTCACATTATTTCAATTCAAAAATTTTCCCTGAAAGGAGTTAGATAGATGACTGTCATGACCCTATTGTTAAAGGAAAAGTATGATGTACAGGGGCAAGACTACTAATTTGAGGTGGCGAGCATATATTTTATATTAATTAAATAAATTTTAAAATATGATTAAAAACTGCAGCTTGGCATTGTGACAATCTCACTGTAAATAATTGCTCATTCCTTACTTCAATGATTTTTAGCCAAATTACATGTGACTTTTGGGTGGTTTTATAATTATTAAATATAGTGTTTATATTTTAACATATTCAACTTAGATTGATATACTGGTATGTGATCTTTTATTCACTCATTTCATAATAAAACAAAAAACTATAAAATATAATTTTCAAGAGATCAATTCAAGAGACTTATACTATAATACAATACATTACTGTATTAAATTAATTACAATATAAATTTGTCCTGTTTTCCTGTATTTAAAAAGATAAAATAGATTTTATAGCTTAATATTCTTTTATGTTAATGTTTGTCAAAAACATAATTCAAAAATAATTCAGAAATTATAATTATTATAGTCAATTTTCATAACCTTTAAAAACAAACAGTAATTTTTTTCCTGTATTATTTATGATAAAAATTACACAAATTCAAGAAAAATACAAAGTTCAATTTTTATGGAAACATTTATACATATTAGTAATAATAATTTTTTAAATTTTCACAAATATTTGAATATTAATTTATACAAATTAAACTTTTTCTCATACATATAAGAATATATGTAAGAGGAAAACAATTATTTTATAATTAATTTTATAAATTTATAGGAAAAATATAAGTAAAAGTATGATCCCCAAATGAACCTAAACAAAATGATCCCTATAATTAATTGGGCTAATTATGCTATAATTAATAATTAGAAGCTAAGTAATTTGGTACTAGAGGTAGAGATTAGGTGTCATCTCGTATCTAAATTAATAATTATAATAATTTAGATAAGAGCTGGCTTAATTTCTAATTATTAATTATAGCATAGTAATAGCCTGATTAATTAAGGCAGTCGTTTGGCTTAGTATGTATACATTGAGTTTCGGGAAGTTGATATATGTAAAAATAAAATCTTTGTTCATTTTTTATGACATGATTTTTACTATGTAAACTGCACTAAAACTTTTTAAAACGAATTAAGTATATTGCATGAAATATTTATACAGAGGTCTGCAATTATTATTTTTAAGACTATCAGAAAAGAAGTATTATATAAATGGAAGAATTACTGTAATTTACAAAAAGAATTTTACAATTATAAAATAAAAATCTGTATTTAAAAAACGTTTAGAAATTTATTATTTGCTATTTTCCAATCTATATACATAATCCATTTAATGGGTATCCATCTATCCGTCTGTCCCATAACCATTTGATAACAGACACTAGAGGTGCCCCTATCATGTGTCATATTTCAAACATTCAAATTAACAATTTTAATTCTTATTTAAATTAACAATATAAATTTTTATTATTCATTTGGCCAATAAATTATTATTTGGTCAATATAACAATATAAATAATTCAGTATATTTGTAATAGGAATTTATTATTTCAGGGGCTTATATCTCTCGAAGGGTCGCGAGTAGGGGTATGGTTCCTTTGACTTTATTGTTAGTACAGGGGTCTACGGTTTGGGGGGTTGCCACCTCTTCATTCGGAGGGTAAATCTTACCATTCGGATTTTAACAGAGCTGTAGAGCATATTGATAGGAACAAAAAAGTCAAAGGAACCGTGCCTCATGGAAATTTGTAAAAAACGCCCACTAGGGGGGCGTCCCAAGCTACTAGTATATTATATCTAAAAGATTCTACCATTAAATTTTTATTTAAAAAATGTTTATTAATTATTGGATAAAAATTAACCATATACCTGTGTTGTATAATATGACTCCTGTTGCCTTTTATATAGAGAAAGAATTCCAGGCACAACTTTAGGCAACTGTTCTTCCAATTTATCTCTCTCTAGAAGATGTGTCATATGACCTAATGCTTTGACAACTTCAGCTCTTACCTGAAGAAAAATGCTTATGATAAAATTAAATAATAATCAATAAAATTATATGTAATGTGATTAAATAAAGTATTAATGTTAAATGAAAGTATGTAAAACAAGACAAAAATATATTTGTTTATCAGAAAATGTGCTAACTGCATGTTAAAAGAGATTATTTTAATATTTTAAAATAAAAGAACATAAACTAAAGTAAAAATATTTTAATGAAATATGATCACAATATCTACACATATGCAATTTTCACATAAAAGTGAATTTGAATAATAAAAATTAAAAATACTTCTTAACTTGCCTTCACAACTATTTACTTTATTTATAGTTATATAGCAGGTGTGGCCAAACTTTTATCCCTTAGAGGCTACTTTTTTGATAAAATATAGTCTGTGGGCGACTATGAATATGGGCAAACAATTTTAGGATTTTTATATGCGCATGCGTTAACATTCATTTGCATTTTTCATCAGGATAAATACAAACAGTATGGGTACGTTGCACAGACAGTCTATTATTGTAAGAATAAATTATTGAATTAAGATTTTTAAACATTAATTTAAGTGAAAGCAAATTGTTCAACTTTAGCTTCGCAGGCTACTTTCAAAACCTTTGCGGTCGACCGG